CTGGTTTGACCTCTTGTATTTCTAGCTTTGTGCTGCACTGTGTATCGGTTTGAAACTATAGGACCTAATTGATTGAGATTCCCTACTTCTTGTCTGCAACTGCAACCGCAATCTAAGGGCTAGTGATGTTGGATTATAATTAAAAAGAAAAAAGAAAAGCCAATATGCTTTTAAATCCAACATCAACCGCAACCTAAGGGCTCTGAATAAAGTTAAAAAAGTGCAAGAAAAATCATGCAAAGCTTTTTATCGTACGCTTCAATTTTGTAAAGTGCTAATCTCGAGATAAATACTGATAATTATGGTTATTACTTGATCTGGACCATTATCGTATAATCACGAATTCGACTTTTGAAGGGTCATTGACTTCTATATTTGAGCTGAAGGCAGAAAGTAGAATAATAGTCATATAATTGTAGGCAGATATCACAGTTTAACACGCAAACCCCCAACAAGCATCAAATCCAAGTGCACGCCTGTTTGGCCCCTACTCAACTCTCTCTCTCTCTCTCTCTCTCTCTCTCTCTCTCTCAGCTATATTGGTCCAGGGGACTGAAAATGATTTTGAAGAAGCTCTACGAGAATCTGTAGTGGTTATGCTCTCATTCTCTTTATTTTTATCTTTTGCAACATGGTCCCCTCTAACCTCAATTCCTGGCTCCGCCACTAGTGACAAAAGCCAATAATCAAGCCCACAAATCTCACCAACCCATAATTTGTAACTGCACCATTATTATTGCCTATAATCGCAAAAAAAAGGTGACTAATACTTTCAAAAGCCACTAAAGAAAAGGTGACTATTGCTGATTTTGTGTGTGTTGTAGTGCTCTAACCAACAACCCTGTCCAAATGAAACAAAGCATGTACGTACATAGCTGCCTTAACTATCTTGCTTACTAACTTAGTTTGGATAATTAAATCATAAACGGTGTCCGACATATAAGATCTTGATCTGTACCATTTAGACAATCTTGTCCTATTAAAAAAAACATAGTGGTCCAACTAGTTTTGTTCTATTGTTAGAAAACCAATTGATGGTGATGGATCAACTACTTGAGTGGAACCAAGTAAAACAATATTTTAGAATTAACTTACGATGATTAAACTGTTGAAATGACATTCGTTTGGAATCTATTTCGTCATCTATATAATTAGTTCGGTGCTTTTGAGGCTGCCGGCTGCCAAGTGCCCATGTGCACCTGAAGAGAAGGAGAAGTATTGTTAGGTCTTTTTCTCATGCCGTACGTACAACGGCCAGACAAAATATCTCCCTGGTCGGCGTGAGAGAAAGAGATAACCACCCTCCTATGAGCTTTTTGATTTTTGGTCTCAAGTGTGTGTGAACACCAGCACCAACATAAATGGTGTCAATTGAGCAGTTTTTAACTACATTTTGGGCTCTTTGTAGAAGAAGCAACAATTATGATATTTTGTGATTCACTGGAAAGGGCAAAACAGTATTATCCCCATTTCACACTGCATGTCTAGAGCCTCACTTTAGGATGCTTCCAAAGTATGCATTAGCCCCCACAATCCAATCATCATCTTTCTAAGATGAAGGTAAAAATAACTGATGAGTGATATATATACTTCTATTAAGGGATTCTTCAAATAATTTTATTTAAGGGACACTCTTTAGGGTACCCTATGAATTTTTTTCCAACAATCCAAATCGTCTATTTTTTCAATCTACATTCATAGATCATCCTTGCAAAAAATTAGACAAATCGAAAACTGTTTTAACATCCAATTGTATCATACAAAATCAATGAACATGGTGCTTCAAGAAAGTATTAAAATTTTAATAACACAATTGAGTGGTCAAACTATATCAGATTCAAGTGATTTTTGTGTGGAGATGATCTTTGAACGATTATCTAAAATATAGACGGTTTGGATTAGTGAAATACAATGCGAAATGGGTCCTACAAGAGTGTCCCTCAAGTTAGTGAAGTAAAGTATGGCAGCTATATACATTGTCATATGTATGAATAAGCATTGATCATAAATAATTAAAATACGACATCACAACATCTTGAATTAATTAGTGCTAGAAAATGAACACATTTGTGTTTGTCTTCTTTCAGCTCTTTTATTTACTTTCTTTAGATCTAAATGGTTTGCCCTGCCGACAATCATCAACCTATCCTTCTGCTTGGGAGAAAAAGCTAACTCAAAATTAATGAAGATGCACTTATACAAAGCTTTCATTCGCATTCATAATGGATAAGAATTGTAAAGATTCGGAAGCATTCACACTTGAACACAAACACTTCTTTGGTTTGGACTAATTAAGGAATGGAGTTTGTGATTTGACATTTGGGTGGATGTATTATGCATAGGTTTTGGATGCTTTTAAAAAAATAAGTACAATTACTAGAAGACAAGAAGAAGAAAAAAGTCTCCCATAGATACTTTCTTATTTTGTTTTGGTGTGAAGTGTGAACGGTACTCCATAACACAACTGAGAATAATTATTTAGAGTTTTTTTTCAAGTTAATGTAGGTTTGTCTACGTGTGATGCTTAAGGGCTACACATGTTGTACGTTATATAATATTTGTTGTTCATGTGTTATGTTGAAATTTCGCCATATATATGTAGGATATGCAAAGATGTGAAGAAATATCTCACATCGTAAAGTTAAGAAACATAACATAGACTTACTTCCATATTGTTAATTGATTATAATTAAAACTTCAATTCCTTTAAAAATACAAAGAATAAATAGTATGCACATATTACGTCACATGTCATTATAATGTTTCATATTTATTCATATTATAAAACTTGTACAATTATATTATTAATATACTAAGCTGAACTTAGCAAGATAATTACTTTCGGGCTTCAATACTAAAGTGCTAACCAAAAGTTTATTTTTTATTTTTTATTTTGGTGGTCTGGAAGGCAGCGAATAGTTGGTTGCAGAAAACGAAGCCAAATATGTGGGACCCACAAAATCTATCTCGAGTGAGTTTGCATCCATCAAAGCACACTTGGGTACGTTTACTTACCTGTTGTTGAGTGACAAAAAGGGTTGAATATTTGATTCTGAGCTGAGCTGGTGTTGAATATTTGATCTAAGCCTTTATGCGACGGTCAAAATGTGCCACAAAAAGTGGAAAAAGCATCGTATTGTGACGCTTTTGGACGCATCGCAATAAAAGGCGTCGTAAAGTATCTGGATTTTTTACGACGCTTTAAAGTCATTGTAATACCTATTTGCGTTGGTCTTGTAATGGCAAACTAGTATCGCAATAAACTATCATGATAAATTGGGGTTTTACGACAGTGTTTGCGACGCTAGTTTCTATCGCAAAAGTTCATAATGAAATGGCTTTTTTTAGTCCAAATTATAATTTTTATTATTTAATATTATAAAAAACACTGTATCTTAACTTACATGTTCGTTCACAAATGCTAATGGGATGATTGTTTCAATTGGCATATAAAGTAAACTATGATTTAACAGTCGAATTTACTATAAAAGCTTATTCTCAATGGTACTATATCCTCATCAAAGCCAACATAAACTTCATTCATGTAATTGAAAGCATTGTTGAATACATTCACTTTACAGAAACCAATAATTATAAATTTAAAAAACCCAAGTCATGATGTGTAAAAAATTCCTACAGATACAATGAAAATATTACAAATTCAAGTAGCCAAATAAATATACTCCAAAATAGTATATTAGTCTTGTACTTAGCCTAATTCTTTACCCCAACCTGAAAATCAATCACAAAACCATCAATAAAATGAATGAGAAACATAAAGTAATATGCTAATATGAAAAACAATTAAAAGGTCATCATTGTGAACAAAAAAAGAACAAACCTACAACATAATTAACTTGAATAACATGAAGCAATATGCCAATTTGGGGTAGAGATTTATTCTTTTCTTTTTCCTTTTGGGGTTGTATAATGATCATCAATCTTATAGGCTTTGAATATCAAACAAAAAAGTGCAAGGAAAGCAGCCAAAAGCTGGGACCAGCTTCAACCATTATATATAAGGCCATGTACTGGTGTTTGTCTTTAAGTTCTCACTTTGTGATTCCAAACTTAACTATTCTTAGCACTATGCCAAGATTAGGCAAATAATACCACTTCCAATGTAGCATGACAATTTTTAACATGCAGTTCATAATATATATATTCATAATGCATCACTAAAATAATAAAAAATCTCCAACCATTCACCAAATTGAAACACAGAGAAAGAGAGATGAATCTGAAAAAAGAAAAGAAATCAAAACAAAATTTTATCCATATCAGATGCTGGGAAGGGTGGATGGGCTGCTAGTTGGCTTTGTGATGGAATAACTGCAAATCCAAAATCAAAATAAAAACAATACCTAATTGGAAAACATAATCAAAACTAATTTCAAATCAAAAAGCACAAGATGAAGAGTGAATACCTTTCCCATGTAGAAGATTTAAGTAATGTAAATTAGAACTCTTCATATGCATGGTACCATTGATTGAAGTGAGGTTTCATGTTCAATGGGTTGGGAAAGTCGTGTAAACATGAAAGCATACGAGCAAAATACAACAATAGTTATAACTAACTACCCACAATTCAACCTATTTGGTGTTGTCTAAAGTAAAATGTAGCATAGTGCAAAGACAAGGCATTGTGGTAGTGATTATCGAATACTACCATAGTATTCTATAATCACTTAATTAAATTGACCCATACTAATTAATCGAATTATATGATGGTTGAAGTTTCAAAAAAAAAATTGTTGAAGTTTTATCTTTGAGCTATCTCCCGAACCGCTCCATGCCCACATGTTTCTCTTTCGACCTGTACCGTCTTTCTTTTTCTCACCTTTGTTATGGTCATCAAATGTGTTATCAATTTTGTCCAAGACTACATTGGAAAATGATAATGAACTACATCATGATAATGTTCTTTCCAGGCCTTCAATGGTGTCTAATGTACAAAGTAATTACTATCTGCACTCATACCCAACAAAGAAAAAGGGAAGCAAAAAATTTTAAGATTTACTCATCTCAGTGTACATAAGAATGATGAAGAGAGAGCCAAAACCCTCTTGGCCATTTATAAATACATATAAGCAGCCTCCCCCACTCCCCAACATTCTCGTATCATTTATGTAACCATATCTAAACAGCTTTTCAGCTCTCCATTACCTACAGATTGTGCAAGAGTCTCGGCCGCTATATCATTTCATCAATTGAACATCCTCGTTTGAGGAACATGAGGTCAAGCTCACGCTGCATTATTTAGCTGGAGGGTCAATTTTATGTTCATAGCTGCTAACTCAGCTGCTAAATATTTGAAGACATAAGGCATTGCAACAGTCTCCATCCCTCTACTCGTCTGACAAGCATGGCAAATGACCTTCTTTGAGGCTCTTATGGGCGGCAGTCCCTTAACCGCACGTCCAACCCGTCTTTCTGGCTTGACGAATGAGGTCGTTAGGATGCTTCCACAAATAGAACATACATCAGCAATGTGATAATCGGAACACGTATGAAGCCTGTCGTGCAACAGATATGCTGCCCCATGGGCAAGCATAGAGTCTCGCTCCATTTCACCAAAACGTATACCACCACCTCTTTTTCGTCCCTTGATAGGCTGGTGGGTGATCTGGTCTATCGTTCCAGTGGAACGAACCTGCATGCAGAATTGGAGTGTCACATGTGAGGCAACCAATAATCGAAAATGGAACTCTGAAAAAATCTTAAAACTTCATGTGGTTAAAAATCTGAGTTGGTGATTTCTTACCTGATATTTGTCTGAAACCATATGTCGTAGGCGTTGATAATAAACAGGACCCATAAAGATCTCACATGTGAGTTCTGTCCCATAGACCCCGCTGTACATTACCTCTGTACCATGGTAGTTAAACCCTTTAACCTTTAACATTTCACCAAGTTCATCAACAAGTGTTTTCGATTGTGGTGGAGTCTCTTCATTAACATTCTTTGAATTAGCAAATGGTGTTGCATCAACATATTTTCCATGTAAGCTACCTCCCTGTGACAAGAAACATGCAAGCATATAAACGGACATCTTCTGATATTCTAATGAAGAAAAACAAATCTAAAATATGGCATACAAGGGGAAGAAAATGTAGACTCGAGATGAATTCCAGAGTAATTTGATCTTTTGATGACCAGTTAATGGAAAACTATTTTTTTTGGTGCTTCCGCCTTACACAAAATCAGAAAATAGCACACTTTACAACATCTACCACCACGTATGAGAGAAACAGGAAGCATCAAAATGTAAATTTATGCCGGTACAATTACTAAACCAAAACTCTATTATGACAAAAAATAAAAAAAACTAAGACTATAACCCAATATATATATATATATATATATATATAAAATATATTGTTCGTTCCGCTGAAAATTCACAAAAATCCTGTTATGTGTATTTCCCTTTCCGGAAACTTGATGCCAATCAAGATTCATTTTCCTAAAGTCCTATTTAAACATTACCAAATCCCAAATTACCTTTAAAGCACCTTATCACTGCTACCTTACAACAGTCCGAATCACTAGAGACAAGAACATCTGTGCTTTGTCTACAGGGGTGCACTGGCTGTGCATTTTTAAAATAACTTTTAACATCATAAAAATGAATTCTTTAGGTGCTAGTACCTTTGCAGCGACTGATTCCAAGAGCATTGCTATTGTCATCCTTGAGGGGAATGCATGTGGATTGATGATAAGATCTGGACGCATTCCTGTAACCCCAGAAAATGGCATATCAACATCAGGCCACAACTGGGAGCAAACACCCTTTTGTCCATGTCGGCTGCTAAATTTATCACCAATGATAGGGTTTCTAGGGTGTCGAAAGCGTATGCTCGCCTGCTCAAAAAAGAAAATAGAAATCAATACAATTCAGGAAAAATCGAAAACGAATAGTATAATGAGCAAATCTGGGATAAATTTTTTTAACAAAGATTAACCTATAGTTCTCATGATAACTAGGAAGATTCAAGATGAAAAATATTACAGTTGGATGTTCATGTCACCTGCGATGCTTGATATATTTCAGAAAACATTATGAAACGAAATGGAACAAATTACTCTCAGCTTGTTTGGTTATAAATACCAAGCATATACAGATAGATTTGTTTCAGAGCAAGTATAGCTCTTAACAATCACATTAAATGAAGCCAAAACAATTAACTGTAGAGAGGGCGAGTCTTTCCTCAGTTTGTGTACACAGAAATGATGAAAAATAATAGAAAAGAGTGGGGACATAACCCTTAAACCAACTTTCTCCAACTGCGCACGGGTTGAAGACTGGAGTACAATAGTCTGGAAGAAAACTGACACTTGAAATGTCATCTAAATCACAAACCAAATAATGAAAATCTGCATGGACGTAAGTTCACTCTCTTTTCTGTAGTGGCGAGCAAAAATGGTGCAGAACTGTAGGCAAAAGACTAAATGCCCCTACTACGCACATAAAAAATGGTGCAAAATTCAATATATTCAAACTTTCAAATTCAGTGTCCAAGAACCAAAATTAGGAACCAGAATAAAGGTTGTCCACTTACCTTCTGAAGAAGCTTCTTCCCATCAATAGCAACATAGTCAACGATAACAGGCTCTGAACCTTTGTGTTTGATGGATCTTGACTCATTTGTCACCTCATTATGAATGCTATACAATTCTTCATTGGATTTTATTGTCTGAAATTCCACATAGAATAGGATCAGTATACACATACGTACATATATGAACATATATAGGAACCTTCAGTTGCAGGAGCCAACTGTGCACATGTACAACTACATATAAAGTATTATTCAATTACCCGGACGTTAGCGTCCGGATTTTGTTTTGACACAAACACCGGTCACCAAGCAGAGGAGGCCAATCAACCAACCCTTGTAGCTTGTGGCTGCTGCCAAGTTTTTATCAATCTATTCCATTTTATTATTGCCTACACTACAAAGTTGCTTTAGTAATTTCCGTACAAGCTTAGATTTTCTGTTTTAACTATCGGGTGTTCTCCTCCACCCAAAACCCAAAATTTAAAACCTAAAACCTAAGCAAACAATTATCCAAGGAGAAAATTTATGTTTTATGTTTGTGTATATTATCAGCAAAACCAGAAATCACTTGGGCACTTAATTACCATCACAACCATTTCATTTTTATCAATGGACTGAGTTTTTCTATACGGTTTCCGATTTGTCTATTTTTTTTTTTTTTTCAGGGATCAAAATTGAGGAGGTATCTAAAGGATGATGGCTTTGGATCATCAAACTACATTATTGAGTAAACGGTATATCTATATCATCTCCAATTGTCGGTGATCCCAACTATCTGGGTTCGACATGATACAGAACAAGAAACACAGAGAAGAAAATAAAATTCCAGAAACGAATGCTAACCTGACCAACATAAGGAAGACCATCTGAATCGATCGAGGAATTCTTATTGATGTTACTTCTCCTAAAAAATTTCCGTGATCTATCTGACCTGCTCTTTTGATCAGACAAGTCAATTGTTTCTGTCTGAAAAAAACCATTATTAGGTGAGCAAGGGTATAAGTTAAAGAACAAGAAAACCACAACCATCAGTACAGACATTGACTTGGTATCAAGAAAAAAAAAACAGATGAATATGAAGGAACTTCTAATAAAATTCCTGAAATTGCTTCGTAACAATGACTTTCAACAGTTAATATAGGGCACAACCATAAGTGCACATATACGAAATGCATAGGGCAACATGAATACAGGATTTTTCTAATACTCCAATTTATCAGACATGAAAGTTCGTCATGCTCTGCCTTTTCTTAACACATGAATACAGTATTTAAAAATTTAGGTCTAGCCTCCAATTTACTAGCTGAGTGATATTTAAGCATGAACATAACCACTAATACCATGACCAAAACAAAACCTACAGTATACTGATCCCATGAGGCACCTCAAAACAAATTAATAAAAAGCAGAGCATAATGCATACACTTGTAGGGAACTTTTACTAGTGGCATTTTAAGTAACAAAGAAGAAAGACTATTTATAGTAGCATCATAATACTGCCCGAAATAAAACCTGATAAATTAGTCCATGAAACATTCCACGATCCACAGATGACTTGTTTAAAATCATGGCATCCTCCATATCATACCTAGGTGTCATAAAGAAAAAAAAAAAAGGCAACTAATAAATGGTAAAAAAGAAAAGAAACAACTACAAATAAGCTTTATGTATCTAAATTTCTCACCCAGTATATGACAGTACAGCAACGATTGCATTTGTGCCTGTTGGATATTCATCAATGCAGTACTTCTTATATGCACTTGTACGAACAATGGGAGACTGAGGAGTCTGAGAATGCCCAAGTTTCCATTATAACAATGAACAGTGTGAGGGGAAAAAAAAAGCATTAAAAAAGCACGATGAAGACAATAACTATAAAATAGTAATCAATTTAAATAAGAGAATTTGTCACTTCTATAAGGGCGCATGTCTCCCTTGCACAAGGAAGGTGCAGAGACTAGAAAACATTCACCATGCACCGACATTCATCAAGGGATGAAAAGACAGAAACTATGTACTAGTGAATGAAGTTTATTTAAATAAGAGAATTTGTCACTTCTACAACAAGTTTGGTCACATGCTTCCCTTGCACAAAAAGGTACACACACTAGAATATATTAACCATGAACCAACATTCATCCGGAGATGAACAGACAATTATGATGTAGTAGTGCATGAAGCCCACTTAAACAAGTGAGTTGCCACTTCTACAACAATATTAACTCACAGTCCCCACAATGAAATATTGGCAGGATAGAGCAGAAATTGTACAGGACCAGTCAAAGATTTAGTAGCGTGAACACAAAAAGAGACCATAATAAGATTGATAAGACAATTAATCACTGCGCAGTCCCTGACCAACTACGCGTTCATATATGAACTCAGTAACTTAAATTATCTCATATGATTTTGTACATACAATGAAATAACAAGATAAAAAGGAACCAACCTTAAGATGATACAGCTTTTGATCTGCACGATTGCAAAGTGCTTGTAAAGAGAAGGCCATTGTTTGTTTTGCCATCTATATAATTCAAAGACAAATAGAATGTAACAAACTGAGAGTAAGCAGATTCCAAAATATAGCAAGAGCTTTATACAACATAGAGCTTCCATTCAACAATGACCAAGGACAGACAGGAGGGTAAAACTAATAAGAACCTGACACTGGTACATATTTCGTGGGCTCTGATTATGATCTGACCAAGGTGTAAGACTAGCGACGACACTGAGCATTCCTGTTGGATGAATTTCTTCATGAGTTGCAGGGAAAGCATCTTTCCTTCCACCATCTCGACCGTCAGGACATCTTATTTCCATGAAAACCTAATGTCGCACATAGAAAACAGTTAGTCATACTATTGGTGCCCTAGCTGTAGCAATCAGGAAATGTACAAGATAATTGTTATCAAGGCAGGAAATACCTGTTCAAAGGGCCCAATAAGTTCAATATTTTGACCTTCATCAGAAGGAATTGAAATATTCTTAACTGGCCGAACAAATCTAGAAGGAGAAGTGAAAAGGTACAGACCAGGATATGCCCCACGCGAGCTTAAAGGTACATATCCCACTTCCAGATCATCAGGAATCTGAGATATATCATTTCAGAAATAAGATCAGGGACTGAGATTACAACGAAAAGCAAGGCTAAAAAAAAGTAGTAAACAAAAATAAATGAAGAACAAACCACTGAAGAAGCTGACACTTTCAGCCTCCTTAACTGAGCCACAACTTTCTCAACTACTTTGGAAGATATAGAACCAACAACACAGCCATCTAAAAGAACAGAAAGATTTGCAGGAGGACCAGCTTGAACCAGCTTTGGCACTGAAGATATCATTTGAAGCTCACTCAGAACAGTGAGAATAGACTCTCGGATATGCAAGAAGTTTCTAATATTTCCTTGTGCATCAAAGTAGGATGTAATTCCTGTCATAAATAAGATGGAATCAGTTATTGAGTGTTACATCCAAGACGAGTGTGGCAATAAACAATAGCTCGGGAATATAACAGGCAAAGAACTAATAAACATCCACATGACATGAAGAAAAATAGTTTTGTAGCTTCGAAGTATGATATTACTCAGTTTTTTGTTTTTGGGAAAAAGAAACAGAATTTTATTAAAGTAGGAAAGCTTTACAAAGAGTGGATAAGGACCCACAAATCCAACATTATAGAAGAAATCCTTAAAATCATCCAAAATCGATGCCCATAAAGCTGCCCTTTGTCCGTCGATGTCCTTAGGCTTCTTCAGTTCTTCAGGGTCAACATAGGGATTAAGCTTTAATCGGTTCATAAACTTAAAAATGGTCTTCCATGACAGTTGAGAAAATAAGTTACTCTTGAGCTTATAAGCTGGCATTCATACCAGGCCTCAAGTGCTAACTAGAAAATATATCTGATCACAATAAGCAAAACTAATGCTCCAATTCCATCAAATTTTTTACCTTTTCATTCCTTATATGTGTGACATAAATACGACTAGTAAGTTGATATTTAAGAAAATGTGAGTAAAGAATTGATCTTCTTCACTTTATAACTTTAGTCCATGATCATCCATTTGATAAATAATATTAATTTAAACATTAGTTACCAAATTTTAAAAGAAAATTGAATACATCCCAGAAAGAAAAAGGGCCAAATATGTACTTACTACAAGTGGAAGTCATATGGTTCAACAAGCCACACGGCTCTCCATCAGGTGTATGCACCGGGCAAAGAAAACCCCAAGATCTGTAAAAAAAATAAAAATAAAAATAAAAACAAACAAACAAATATACATACATATTTAACGTGATTGAACCCAATTTTAATAATGAAGTCAACATGTCAGATCCTGAATAACCTCGCAAGAAAATACATACTCAGGTAGCAATTTCCGGACGCTTGTGGTGCGAAGTCCAGCAAATGAAGCTCCTCGATGGACGGCACGAAAATGAGATAAGTAACGCAAATAATTAAGCCTCTCTGCCTGAACCGTTAAGCCTGCCCTCTAAGAAACAACACAGAAAATAAATGAGTCTTCAAATTTTATAGAGATAGCGTGATATTATATGTGAAATAATATTTTTCCCCATCTCTTCTTTGTCTCCCTCTATCTTGCTCGTCTCTTCGTTGCACTGATGTGATGCAAGAGAGTAAACATAAATGTTCAAGGACCTTTTTAAGACTATGCCCTTCAAAATCTACTCCCTGGAAAATCCCTGGAAATACACCCATTTTCCTCCCATCCAGCTTCAAATTAACATAGCGATTGTTTGGAATAACAGATTACTTCAGGTCACAAGTTTAGGACATATTTACGTATCGTTGCCCTATATAAAGAACTGTATTTTACTCCATTGATGCAATATACAGACTTTCCCTCTTACTTTGTCTCAATTTTCTTCTAACAATGATGTTAGCCAAACAGAGGCATTTCAGACAAACAATTAAAATGAGCAATTGATGTTTAGTTACAAAGTTAAGCTGTATTAGAAAAAGTTTACTGCTCAAACTAACCAAGAAAGCATATCTGATAGCCACAGGCATCAGTTGTACAATACAAGTACTCAAAATTTGAGCATTCAAAGAGCAAAAATAAAAGGTTTCAACGCAGTATTTATCTTTGCAGTTACCTGCCACTCTCAACACATAATATGAAATTGGACCCAAGCTTTTACTCTATAATAACCAACAGTCTATGATCGTATGTATAAAGCTTTTATTTTCTTTTGTAGTCAATTTATAAATAGAAGTTTTTTATAACGAACTCTAATTAGATGGGTCAAAATCATATAATCTTGATGATATTTACCATCAGGAATAAACAACGAATGGTGGTCATCGCTCCATGAAGACCATCCTCAACATAAAAGCCTCATGTCTTATAATCAAATCAATTGCCAACCTAGGAAGCTGCACCCTAGCACAGGGGTAGTGGAAAGCCCCTAGTTTAACAAGTGCCATACGTCAAAGTCAAAGCATGGCCTCAATATCATACAAATTTAACCTGGCTATAAATCAGTTGGGTGGTTGTTTGTAATACAGAAGAACGCAATTGTTTATCAAAACCATTATTCAAACAATGCTGTTTGCTTGGATAAGGAAAATCCAAACAAATATTAGCATTCCAAGTCTTAAATTTTCTGATCATTAGTCGTACAACCACCAACATGATTAAAAATTGGTACATTTCAAGTATTAAATATACCCTACTAATTTGAAGTTTGATGATAACACAACTTATCATTAAAAAATAATTCAGAACATCCTATGAACCATGAGCTTGTATAATCAACATATTACTTAGCTGGTTTAAAGAAGAATTAATTCATTATGTCAAAAAGATCCTGATAGGAGAAAAGCGGAAGGGAATGAATTTAGTACAAATGTATGACAAGGAAAACTTAAAGCATATAACCAAAAAGCCCATACCTGCTGCAAATCTAGACCTGATTGTGTAACAAGCCTTCCGGTTTTCAACATATTTTCAACAGCTAAACTAATGTGCTTTGAAGGATTTTTATCCAAAACCTTCTTTACATTTACTACTGCATTAACAGGATGCAAGTGTTAATTCATGTGAGAAAAAGAAGGCACATATCTTGATTTATAGAAGATATCTAAAAAAGCATCTTAGAGCACGTGCAAGTTGTGTAACACACAGCTGAAAAGAGAGAGGAACAGGAATAATTCAAGAATAATTTTAAACAAAATTTTCAATATAAGAAAGAAAACACATACAGCTGCAAAAATCAAAAGTCTTGCTTTTGTTGTTGATCTGATCTTGAAGAAGTTTTTTGGCCCTTTGCAACCAATCTTCTAGTTTTTCCTAGAAACATGATAAACGGTAAGTGAATAAAACCTGAACTCAAAGACAAATAAACTGTAATCTATTAATAATCAGATCTTAGTATTAGAAAGATGGACACATCACTAAATCCAATCAAAATCATTAAACGAAAGATAATTTGCCCCCAAATAAATATTGTTCGCAATAATGGGGCCAAAAAACCTATGTTCTAGCTGTAAGAAAAAACAAAAGTGAGAAGACAGGAATGGCTTTACAACATCAGACAGCTATGGCGGCATTTGTTCGTAGAAATGTAATATTCACGGGTATTGTACCATGTAGTCCTACCTTCCATTCGTTATGAAAGAATATGGTAAGAGTAATATATTGTCAGCTACGTGAACCCCAAAAAGGAGTGGCATCCAAACAAAAGCAAGAAACCCCGTCCCACAATAACTCAAAAAATTACTTACAGATAAATAACTGGTCAAGAACTTAAGGATATCAAATGGATGAATCATTGGATTTGATCATGCCTCAATTGCAATATTTTTAACTCCCAACTAAAAATCATTCGGCAGGAGATGGATTAGCCTTAACCAGGAAAACAATTTTATTTTGGTATTAACCACTAAATTGCTACATATTAAATAAACATATCAAAATATGCTATTTAGAAACATAGTACTTTACTAAACACATACATATTCCCGCACCCTAGACATGCTTAAAAACATAATTCAGTACACAATAATGCTCTGCACACTTACACCAGCAGAAAACCTAGACATCCTGGTGTGCACACCAGGCATCCAAACAGTTTTGCTTTCACCAGGGATTGGCACTATACAAACTACCACAAAAGCTTCCACACACAAAAAGTAACGTCTGAAAAATGACAATTTAATTTTCTACCTTGAGATATATGGTAATCAAGTGACCAGGGAGTAAGACTTCATGATTTTGCAAGGCATCTGGATTGTCTGGCAAGGATGTCTGATCCATAAGAGAAAAAAGCTTCTGCACCATAAATCTAGAGATACAAAATGTGAGAAGTGAAGCACAAAACCAGCGGAGAAGAAATACATTTTTCGTGATCAAAACTGTACATGTATCTATATATATATATATATATATAGAGGGGGAGAGAGAGAGAGAGAGAGAGAGAAACCAACATGAGCAGATTGAATTTGTCAAACCCTTTATCAAGGTGAACAAATATGTAGTCCTCTAGAACAGCTTCTCCAACCTACATATTGAACAGTTAGCAGAAATAAGCAGCCAAACAAACCACGCTACCAGTAAAGTAGTTTTCTTTTCCCCAATTCCTTTGGACAAAAGGAGAGGCAAAGTTCGCAGAACAGGACTTACCACAGAAAGATCACTTTCATCCTCCAGTCCACGCATAAGAGGTCGGAAGTGCCCTCCTGATTATGATAAAAGGGATCAATACAAATCACTAATATTATAAATCAAATCTGAAAGGCCATGATAAGACAATAGTAAGTACCAATGTGCTCTAGACATTGACGGCGAGTGATAAAGTCTCTCACTTCATCTAGAATAATGTGTGCCCGCTCACCCACAAGCTGAGTGCCAACATTACCCTTTCCTTTCTCATATTTCTTGACATCGCAACTCTCATCTTTCTCAACATAGCAACATGTCAAATTTTTATAAATTTCGTGATCAGTAGTGTCAATAAGAGCCTGTTAAGGACAATCAGGCGAGTTAGCAAAGAATATCTATTACACCACAACACTCCAAATATGTGATCACAGATGATGTATTAATAAATGTGTCAAGGAATTAAATATCCCTAATATATAGTATAAAATGATCACAATTAAAAAGTTGTCTTTGTGATCATGAAGCCATAAACAAGACCGGCAAATTTGTAATCCATCAACAAGAATTAATAATAAAATACCTGAACAAAATATAAAAGATTCACCTCTATCCATACAAAATATAAATCTTCTTGCAAATATAATCTCATTACATTTGTTTTTATCTCAGTCTCATACATTTGAAACCACCGCAATTAAAGTATAGAGAGAGAGAGAGAGAGAGAGATCAAAACAAAAATTAAAACACATAGATATTTTATTTTCTCCCAACTGGTGTGTTATGTGCAGGTGTGCTACTGAGAGTATGGATCATTAATTTCTTTTATACCCATAGATATTTTATTTTCTCCCAACTGGTGTGTTATGTGCAGGTGTGCTACTGAGAGTATGGATCATTAATTTCTTTTATACCCAGTAGCCTCACGTTTATGGGGTCCGCTGTTTAGGGAGGCAGGTTTATTGTGGGGGAACTATGTTTCATGTAGTGCATTGCTTGGAGAGATGTTTAAATTTTTTTGGAGGAAAGAAACAGGGAGAAGTTCTGGGAAGATGTGCTACATTGGCCTTTTTTTTTTTGGGGTAGTGTAAGGTGGAAAGGAATAGGAGAGTTTTTGATAATGGTAAGGATGATGAGATAGATCAGTTATGGGATCAGATTCGGTTTTGGGCATCCTTGTGGGCATATACTTTATCCGAATTTAGGGAGTTTACCCTTTATTTTATCTATTAGGATTGGAAAGCAGTATTGTAGGGACATTTGTTTCAGGTGCAATGTGGGAGTGAGGTGTCTTAGTTTTAAGATTCTGGCTGTTGCATTTTTGGTGAATTTCTTGTTCACCATTTGTACATATTGGTTTTTTAATATAATTGTTGTTTCTTATAAAATAAAATAAAACCATAACTAAGAGTCTTCAGTCTCAGGCATGACAATAGATAGTAATGCAAAAGATATAGCAAACAAAATGATGATATCCTATAAAACTAGTAAAAAATTACAAGATATGCACGTGATTGAGAAGGACTTCACCAAAAGTAAAAAATAAAGTATATTTGTAACAGTATCATCAAAGGCACCTTTAAGACAAGACCCACAGGAAGCAAGTATTCCCTCCCTTGTATCCTGCAAAGTTCAAATTATATAATATATACACTTCGTTGCAGCTCAATATAGCAAAACCAAAATTCTTCTCTAACCCGCTTACCAAAATCCAAGTCTTGCGCTATCATTACGAAGGTAGTACAATTTGACTGTTACTGAAGATTGATCTTCTCTTGCACACCTGGAATGACAGTAAAAGTAGAATCAAATTAATAAACTGCACAACTTTTCCAAAAGGAAGCTGCAACTGCAAACCATTGTTCCTTAAACAAACAGGAGACGGCAGTTCAAATCCATATATTCAATTTGAGTCTGCATCCATCATTCCACTTGTCAAATTGAATATGAATTTGATATATCCAATCTAATTATAAACCAATCAGAGTTTAATATAAATTTTTCATCATGCAATATATATTAATTATGCTTGCATTCATAGACAACATAATCTGCTACCCCATTTCATAAAATAGAAAAAGGAAAATAAAACAAAGGGGGCACGGTGTTTCCTAAACTATAGGCAACTAAAACAGCAAAGCAAAAACCAAAGAGAACAAACGCAAAACAAAAACAAAAATTCATGACCAGACAAATCCTTAAACTCATAGGAAACTGAAGTCCATAAAGATGTTCAGAAACGAAATTTGTCCACAAATGATCCACATCCTCCCCCTAACACCCTAAAAAAAAAAAAAATTCCTATATCTCCTTCCAAACAACCCAAATATTGCCAACACATCACATCTTCCAAGCACCATGCAATTGTCCTCCCTCCAAAAAACTTAGGTTTCTCACAAAGTAATGGATTACAAGGTTCTGGGACTGCCAACTCAATCTGAACTCCCTAAATAGCCTTATCCACAAAGAATGCCCCCACTGAGAATGGAGCATTAAATGACTCAAAGATTTAGCATCTCCTTTGCGCATTACACATGGGAGAAAGGCTCCAATATGGTTTCCTCCTCTGTTATAATACCTTGGTAAGAGTTAAGTACAGTTAAGCTAACTTTTAATAAATGATTTTAGCATTTTGATACAACATTGGTAAGACTTAAGGGGGTTTTCTTTTCACGTTTGGTACCAAAACTTTAACCCACGTCTCATTCCATAACCTGAACTTTAATTTGTCCCAACTAATCCCTAACCTAATTTTTGTGTACGTACCAACTTAAATGTTTCTGAATATTATCTCATGGGCAATTTTGGCACTTACATAGTGTATGTCATCTATGTCATCAATGATAATGAGGAGAAAGACACAATTTCCATCAGATCTGTAACGTGTTTTTAAAGTTTGATTCAGAACTTATTAGACAAAAAAGAAATAAAAATTGAAGGACCCAATTCAGACAAGTTATAGTTTAGGTCATAATTCAGGTACAAATAAATATACAGTAAATTTAGTTTTCCAGTATTCTACTAAATGACTATTATCGTATTAATTTTGCAATTGTTCTTCATTAAGTTAAATATTTTATGTCCTCACTAAGTGCAATGATTAAAAATCCAGTGGATGCTTGGATTGGGTCTCATTTCATAGAACTCACTAATTTCCATTCCAACTTCTATCTCTATTTTTCTGTTGTTTATTTCTGGAAATCTATTTTCCACGGTGATCTGGCACTTTTACAGCCGCTGGACAGCAGGATCACCCTGTCCCAAAGCCCTAGGGGCCCCAACCAAAACTACAGCTAGGCCTCCTATTGATAATAACAGAGAAACTAACAGAAGCCAAGCAACCACTCAGCCACTTCCTCCACCAATTACCAAAACCCTTTCATCTCCAGCACATGATCAAGGAAGGGCCCAATCCACACAGTCACAAGATTTCTCAAAAATCATCTTAAAAGCAACTCCTTCCTTCTTTCTAACTTGAAAGTCTTACACAACTTCATTGACGACTGCGCCAAAGTAGAAAAGAAATCTCTAACCAAAGCTCCTTGGGATTTGGAAATAGTCTCCTCCAAGCACTCCCTCAATCTCCTAGATAGCACTTTACAATAATCTTGTACAAGCTAGTGATCAACTTACAGGGCAGCAGTCCTTACCTTCAAATGATGGGTCTTCTCAGAAATCAAGCAGATAGAGGTTTGGTTAGTACAAGGCATTGACAACCCGGTTGTGAAAGGACTACTGAAAAACCTTCACCAAATCAGCCTTAACAACCTCCCAATCCTAAGAACCTTCAACAAACCATCCATAACAGGGGACTTATCACAGTCAAAAAGATGAATTGTTCATTGTGCTTGAATCCGGCATTCACAAGAAATTTAAATGATTAAGAGGTGGAGAAGTTGGCTTCATCATTTCACTTGATGGAAAGGGTTCATTTGACAACCGCCAGACCAGATTCAAGGGCTTGGAGAGTTGGATCTACACTTCTCTTGTAAATTTTTTTATAGATATCTTTGTGGAGATGACGATGGTCTCAATTTTTATCCAACGGGTTTGATATGGAAGGCAAAATTTCCCCCAAATGCCACAGTTTTGGCATGCCTGGCCGCACATATACATTAGAAGAGAAGACCAATTGTGTGCTGTCTCCAACTCCAAGCTGGTGTGCTACATGTAGCAGAATGGGGGAGAGTCAATCATGTCTTTCATCATTGTTCTGTGCAACAATAGGATGCTTCCCATCCTAAGGATTCTCCAGATGAAGAGCAACAGAAGAATTTTCAATTGTTCTGTCAGTCATTTTGAACCTCTGTCAACAGTCTCGGAGACTATAATATAACCCTAGCAGTCTAACCCCCAGGGGGGACCCCAACCAAAAGGTGATAGACCGATAGTGTGATTTTCTAGCTATCTCTTTGGGCCTCTATTTCTAATGTTTTTCCAAGGGCGTTACCTTTGCTGCCACTTTGTTAGACTGGATGGCAGATACCAGTTAAACCACTTTCTTTCCTATTTAGTTTTGAATTTGATGCAGATCTGTTTCCGTTCTGTTTTGTTTTAAAGAACTTGTCCATGGATTGTATAGTTTAAATCTGTGATTAACAAAAGTTTCTTTTTCTTATAAAAAGAAAAGAAAAACATATGACATTTCATAAACTAGGACTAACATTATTATTACTAATACCAGTAAATGAATTATAACAGAATGCCTCAAAACAACTTTATCATAAACGCACATATGTGTGGAATTTAGAGAGAGAACCAACCTTATTACAACTGCCTTATCAGTATATCCTTCCTTTCGATCACGAAATGAATTTCGCACCATACTCGTTGGCTGGAAGACAAAAAGACAATCGCATGAAGCAAGTTAATATCCTCCCCCAGAACTATCTTTGAATATCCATAAAAAATCATAACGTTAAAAAACTCTCAGTAAGGTACTTGCCAATTCCCATCATAATATTTTTCTATTTCTCTCAAGAGGTAATTGTGGGATACACAAAGGGGAGCAGCCTTCCCCCTCCAACCCCAAACCCCACCCACCCAAAAAAAATCTAGGTTGAACCCAAGACCTCTCCCCCTTTAATCAGGGAAGAGATACCACTTTGGCTACAAGGCTCATTATCTCTCACAAAACTTGCTGCATTACATCAGATGAAAAGGCTCACTTACATAATTCCGCTTTGGCAATATGACAAGCCGAACAACTCTCTCGAGCCCATTTAACACGAAGTAACTATAGCACGACAAAAATAAACCGTTATAAAAAAAGCAGAAAATGAACAGAAATCAAAATAAAAACAGACAGTGCAGCTAGTAAAGACATCTCACATGATGACACGATATGAAAAAGAGAAATCAAAATACTCACCCACCCATTTCTGATGACTCTTCTTTGCAAGAAACTAGCTTTTCAGGATTAGCACCTCTTAAGTGGCAAAGCTTTGACTGCACTTTACAAACCATCCATCAAGAACAAGACTAAAACAGAAGACTCCACAAAACATTTTGGTTAACATTTATTGCAGGGTTCACCAAATATCCAATTTTGGCCATCTTGCTCTTTTGAATCCCCTAATATCACTAGCCCTGCCCTTAAAACTATAAAAAAATTCTGTAAGCACCAATTAGAGGAGATTTAACCCCCAAAGGCACCCTCAATGCTTATTCTTAAACGGGAAGAGAAGCCAGCAGACCAGAAGGCGATTCGAATCAGATGCACCATATGAACACTTAGCATGTCTCGACAACCAAGTGGACTAAAATCACAAAGTGATGCATAACTTCACACCAACTTCTAGGTGAAATGACAAGAAACACCTTATGATATATAAATGATAAGAAACAGATTAGTAATCTCCAAGATTTTGGCATGGACTTCAGACAAAACTATATACGAGATTTATATAGATAGAAGGGCATACATTTTCGAATATGCTCAAAGAAATATGTAACTGATGTACAATTATTGAAGGAGGTGTACAAGTAGTGAAGTGGGCATGACACCATATGAATATTAGCGTGCAAGACATAAATTGCTTAAATGTTTCACATCTACATTTAATTTGTCAGATTTTAATCTAGCACCTTGCTTAACTGCATGATCAAATATTCTGAAAACCACTCAGGAATATGAATACATACATCATTAACTAATCATGCAAACAAAACAAAATAAAAGACTTGATAAAGTTAAGGATCAAAATACGAGAATACCGACCATTAGCATGATGGGAAGCTGCCCAAAATTGAAATTCTCTCTTATTGCGGGTCCATCATTATACTTAAAGTAAACATCTGCCATGAATTTCCCTGTGTAGGAAAGTTTAGCCTGTCTACACTGTTTAAACAACCACAACCCATTAATGCCTATAATGTACAGAATCATACATTCATACACATATACCTATATGAGTGTTTGACACTTACTTCGAAAGGAAGCAGCTTTCCACGGGCAGTTTTTGATTCTTCCTTTTGAGGTGGGAATAAAAAAGGTTTGCCAAACCAAAGTGAGATATGAGTCAAGAATAAACGCCATTCCTTTCAGTCTAACAATGCAATGATTAGCTTTGAACAAAATCACATGTAATTTCCATGAATTCAATCCAACGAAAGATTAAAAGCTACTAGCCTGCAAACAAAAAAAATGGAAAATAGAAGGTAAATAATAAAATTTGAAAAAGAAAAAAAGAAAGGATATTTGCTAGGCTTGTTCCGGTGGAAGAGTCGACGACTTCGATGGGCTTGATTTTATTGAGCATAGTCTCAAGACCAGCAGTGACAAAGTGATCGAATGACTCTATGTGGTGCCTGAAGAGCTCACGCACCGCCGCGTAGTCCTCCGACTCAGCCGATGGCTTCCCAAACATCTTCTTCATCTTCTCTTCTCTCTTCGACGTCATTCTGATTCTGTTGTGTGCTGTTCGTTAGCTCTGTTCAGTGAACAACTGAAGAAAGAAGCTGGATTTTTTTTTCTTGTTTTGTGTTTTTTGTTAAAGTCCTATGTTCGTCGAAACGTGTAAAATTGCAGTCGCGGAGGTTTTATTAGCGTTTTAAGGGTTTTATTAGGGTTTATAGTTTTTGGGTTGCTGTGTTGGTTTGTCATAGTCTGGTCGAGTTGGGCTTTTCTGTTAGCCCAACGTTCTGCGGCTGGGCTATAATGAGGGGATCTTGTGCTGGGGTTGAGGTAAGGGTTAATAGATTTATATTTTTTTTGTTGGGAGGGTTAAATACACAATTGGTCGGTGAGTTTAAGACCACACTGTATTTCCTAAAATTCACTATTTATATACATCTCATTATCAACAAGAGTAGTTAGAGGATTATTCATTGCTGGCTATTACACAAAACTCTATTGTCCCCTTTAGATCTTTTACTTTTCAAGAGTTATTACTAGTATAAAGAATTTAACATTTTTTCGTTTAATATTTTGTATTATACAGGCACGTACAAATTTTTCATTAATACTTCCTTTTTTCATACATGTCTTAAAGAACTTGTAAAATACAAATTTTTTAAAAAGCAAATATACAATACATGTACGTACTTATTTTTCATCTTTAATATAAGTGTCATTTATAAAATTTTCAATAATACACACATAATTCATGTATTATACACATAATTTTTCACATATTATTGCATAAAAATAATATATATTCAATTATTTAAATAAATTCTATTAAAATATTATATAGTGGCCGAACTTTTCAGTTCCAGAGAGTTAAGTGAGAAAATTTCAGTTTTAGAGTGTAAAGTGATAAATTAAGACTCTATATAGCCGCGCAGATACTCTTTTAAAAAATTTTAAAATAAAAAATAAAAATCGGCTTTTAAAAAAAAATTAATAAAAAGTACAGCTGCACGGCTATTAATAAATAGTATAGCCGCACGGCTAAACTGCAGGTATTTTTCCATAAACTCCCCTTAATTTTCTTTCTTCCTTGGATGATCCACGGCTAATTAATTTCCACTATTTACTTCTTTTTTATAATGTCAATTAGCAACTATCAATAGCGGATTTCTATCTATTTTGGGTGAAGGGTGAATTATTTTTGAAAACTAGGTAAAAGTTACTCCATTTTCGGTTTGAATAGGTGACCGTTTTGTATGGGAAAGAGGCAGCCAAGAACCTATAGCTTCCATGTATTTCCCGCCAATATCGCTTCAGCCTCTCTCTCTCTCTCTCTCTCTCTCTCTCTCCATCTTGGTGGTGCTGGCCAACTCCCTTCTGTTTCTCCCCCAAAAACAAAGTAAAAAAGAAATAATTCCCTTCCTCAGGTGCGATTGAACTTGACTCTTCATGTCCTGATATCATGTCAGTTCTGTTAAATTTTTCATCCAAGAATAATCATTATAATGAAATAAATTTTCTGCGTTTTTCTTTTTTCTGGTAGTGAAAATTTTGATATCTTGTAGATGTTATTATGTATGTATGAATTGCTTGATGAATTTCTCATCTTTCTCTGAATGTTCTAATGGCCTCCTGTTTCTGAGCATTTGAGGAGACAGATACCGTAAGTGGTGATGACAGTTAGTATGCCTGCTTGTGTCGATATAGAAGAAAGATTCACAGAACAGGAACTTAGTGTCTATAACACAGATTGGAAGTTTAGGGTAAGGACATGTTTTGCTTGAGTTAAAGTATAGGGTTCTGGTACAGTTTATCTGTTTTAGACTTGAATTATCATGAAACATTAGCACAACTATTAATTAAATCAGACTCTCAAAGAGCATGGCTACGTCTGTTAGTACTAATACATGAAGAATGGATGCTGTGCTTTACACAAGATTTTATTCATTTGCTTTAAACACATAACATGGGCAAAATGGATCATTTTCCTTTATTCATTTGACTCATCTGTCATTTCTTAGAGGGGTGGCGTTGTCTTGCTGACTTTCTCCCAATTTTATGTTTATTAGTCACAAAGTTGCTCGCTGAAGTATTGAGTATACTAACCAACTAGATGAGGACTTTGAAAATTGTTTTTTAATTATTAAAAGAAGAAAAAAAAACTATGATTCTTATTTATAGCCTAATCATAAAGCAAAAAGTATAGTTCTTGCATCTACAGTATTTCAGTTTGTTTTCTCATTTTCTGGAAAGATTTGTGATGTCTTGCTTGCTTCTGGTCATTGATGGAAATCAGTTAGGTAACATCTGTTGCACATGTGCTTGTCTGTAATGCAAATGTTCATTTGTACTTTTATAACTGTTCTTATGTGTATGCAATATGTATGTGCTGAGGAAATGGTTTTGTCTGATCTAATTTGGTTCTTATTTCTGATATTGATCAGGGAGCTTTATTAAATCAGTTGAGCAAACTTGTTGCCTCCAAGAAATTATATTAAATGGACACGGAGAGAAGGAAATCATGCTTCAACTTGTCTAACTGCTTGATTATGATGAAGATGGTAGTTTATTCTCAGATATGAGTTTTACTGAGGTTCATGGGCTTTCCGGTCCAGATGTGTCCTACTTAAGTGACTAGGGGGAAGAGTTCTCCTTTATAAGTGGTTATTCTTACGATGATCTTAGATTTTGATTGGTGATGATATTATGGGCCTATAGTTAGCAATTGTGAGATGAATTAATAATTACTATATAGGAAAATACAAAATCATTTTGTGTTTTCGAGTTCACCTGTCAAAATGGGTAATGACAGTAGTGATTGCCAAGAGAGTGATGAGGCTGGGAGTTCTAAAGAACATGTTATCTTGCATGGTGAACTGGATTTGTGGATTATAGAAGCTAAATCTCTTCCAAATATGGATTTAACTTCAGAAAGAATGAGACGGTGTTTTACCATGTTTGGAACTTGCTCTGCTCCCTTTGGGAATAGACCTGCTAAAACAGCTTCAGGCAGACATCCAACGATTACAAGTGATCCTTATGTGTCTGTTTGCCTAGCAGGGGCTACTGTAGCTCAAACCAGAGTAATTTCAAACTGTGAGAATCCTTCGTGGGAAGAACATTTTTGTGTTCCTGTTGCTCACCCTGTTGCGAAGGTGGAGTTTCATGTGAAAGATAATGATGTTCTCGGGGCTGAACTTATTGGCGTAGTGGAGATATCTATTGACAAAATCATTTCAGGAAAGCCAATGAATGATTGGTTTCCAGTCATTGGCAATCACGGGAACTGTTTAAAACCTTTTCCTGAATTGCATGTTTCTCTTCAGTTTAAGCCAGTTGGAGGTAACCCTTTATATAAAAATGGTGTTGGTGCTGGGCCGGAATATAATGGAGTTCCTAATACATATTTTCCTCTTCGCAAAGGAGGGAGTGTCACTTTATATCAAGATGCTCATGTACCTAACGACATGCTACCAGACATTGTACTAGATGGTGGAAAAAAATTTCAGCAAAGAAAGTGCTGGGAAGAAATATGCCATGCCATTTTGGAAGCTCAGCACCTTATATATATTATAGGCTGGTCTGTGTACCACCGTGTTAAGCTTGTAAGGGAGCCAACAAAGCCACTGCCTTCTGGAGGAGAGTTGACGCTTGGGGAGTTGTTGAAATACAAGTCACAAGAAGGGATTCGCGTTGTTATGTTGATTTGGGATGATAAAACTTCACATGACAAATTTCTTTTAAAAACAGTAATTCCCTGACACGGTGACACCTGAAACTTGGCAAATATTACTTGTTGAAAATTTACTATTATTCCTCTTTTAAAATGCAAAAGAGTTTGCGGTTTCCACAATACCAAGGACTTGGATTTTAAATTGTCACAGTAATGGATACAACAAAAGTTTTCATAAGCTCCTTTATGTCACTCCCTACTTTTTGTGCAAAGAAGGGTGTTTGAAAAGTTTGAAAGAAAAATATGGTCATATATATCTAATTACCACAGCAGCTTTGGCATTTGCTTTCTCATTTTATAAATAGGACACATAAGATAGGCTGCTAAAGTTCTTTTGAAGGTTATTACCATTTTTCTTTGAAATATAATGATGCATCTTGGTCATTATTTTCACGTAGATTCCTAATGGCTTACATAATCATTCTTGTTGTCGGACAATTTAGCAGAATGCTGCATGCATGACTAATGTTAATTCTAGAATCCATTTTATTGATGATGATAGCTTGAATGCAGGAAGGTGTCATGCAGACCCATGATGAGGAAACCAAAAAGTTTTTCAGACATTCCAGTGTCCATTGTGTGCTTTCTCCTCGTTATGCAAGCAATAAGCTCAGTATTTTCAAGCAACAGGTCTGGAACATCTCTATTTTAGATCTACACTCATCTCTATTTTACCACCCTTTGTTATTGCAGTTGCTCATTTAAATGGATTGCTCTAGTGCAGGTTGTGGGAACCCTTTTTACACATCATCAGAAGTGTGTGCTTCTTGACACAGCTTCTGGGAATAATCGGAAACTAACCGCTTTCATTGGTGGTCTGGATTTGTGTGACGGAAGATATGACACGCCCGAGCACAGGCTCTTTAAGGATCTTAACACGGTGTTTGAAAATGATATTCATAATCCTACATTTCCTGTAAGTGGTTATAGTACCTGTATACAACTCTCTGCATTCTTGATCTTAATGCATGGTAAGATTTGTACTGATGCAGTTCTCTTTATTCTTCTCTCCTTTTTCAGTTTGTCACAATAAATGACCAATGTTTATTGTTTGCCATTTCTCGTTTCTCTAAATTACTTTTGATTATTTTCCATAAAAAAAAGTACTTTGGTATAATATTGTTTGGACATACACATGGTGAACTATAAATTGTTATTTTTTTTTTTAACTGAAATTTTATTGTATTAATTTCAAAATTCAAGGCATGTCTGACAACCATTTATTTCAACTTGTTTATCTCATAACCTTGAACCTAGCGATAGACCACAATTACACTCTGTTGAAGCTTTTATCCAAATAAAGTTGGTCTGTAAGAGACGAAACATATAGAAAATGGAATGGATCCCTGATGATGAAAATTAGATTGGTAGCACTTGCCAAGATTCAATCTCAATAATGATAATACTATTTATACCTATTGACTGTGTAAACTCTATTTGAT